CATCGATGTTTCTAACTCTCTATCCCTCTCCCTTCCTCTCTGTAAAAAATCAATAAAATATATTTTAAAAATAAATAAATAAAAGTAAATCTGTGTTGCCAGCAGTTTCCCCTTATGTGAGTGTTCTATACCATATTTAATATAAACAAATAATTTTCCTGGGTCTCATCAATTTATTATAATCAAGACATGCTTCTGTAATACACGGCATCCATTAGGTATTCACAAGTGAGTAAAGGTGCACAGACTGATAGTAAGTACTTTACAAATCGAAGGCACTGGGTGTGCTCACTGAATGAGCTTGAACTTTCTATGCCATTCCACCGCTCTACCACCATTTGTAATTTAGAAATAACAACAACTGCTAAAATTTAGCAGCTACAGTACTCCCTCCCGCCCCGAAAAAAATGGGATAAAATTGGCAATCCAAATTCACAGCAAACCCACACATTTTTACTTTATCCCAAATTAGCTTCAACCTCTTGGACAACAAAACCATCTCAGAAGTTATTAGATAAGAACAGGAGGCAGAGGGAGGTGGCAGAAGCAGTCCTTAGAGAACAATAAATGATTAACCTTTGGATAATTAAGAGCTGACTCAGGATCCTGACATTTCTGAGTTGGGGAAAAGAGGAGATAGTTATCAGAGGACATATTTTTATGAGTTTGCTTCTACTCTAGGTTCTCAATAAAAAGACTTTTAAATATTTTTCAAGTACATATGGAAAATTCAAGGAGCCAAGCACTGCATAAAATTTTGATTCTCTCTCAGGTACTTGATTATAGTAGACTCCAAAATGGAATTTTACTTTTACTCTTCAGACCCTCTTAATCTGAACAAGGTTGTGAGTATAAAGGAAGACTGCAACCCTAGTCTGGGGAGGGAAGGGGCACATAAAACTGATCCTGACTGCATTAGGGGCTGAACACAGGGCATAGGGTGCAAGTCAACAAACAGAATAGGAAGTTTCATCTGTGTTTCCCCATCTCCCCACCCAGACCCCCCCTCACCTGCCCCCTCCCAGGTCAGCCAGGGGAGAATTCACATGGTCCTCTGATCCTGAATGCGGAGGAAAGGCGAAAAGAGAGCCAACAGTTGGATCTCTGTTTTTCTCTTCATGTTAGATACTGATGAGCAAGAAGTATAGCAAAGTTCCAAATCAAGTTCAATACAAACTCAAGTTATCCCCCACTTAAAAACAGAGAACCAACAGTAACTTCTTCAAGTGTGGTGTAACCTTTGAATCTAACCCATTAGTTCTGCAGATGAGGAAACTGAGGCCCAAAAAGGTGGTTGACTTCCTGACACCTGTCTCAGATATGCATTCTCAAAGGGCCTGGTGGTTTAAGGGATTTTTCCCTACATCTTTCCTCTTCTCCAATGTCAACGGTTTTCTCTAAATGAAGTAGAGCTTGAGTCACACATCTTGCTGAAGACAGTAGTGCTGTTTACAGCTTTCTTTAAAACCACATCTTTACATGTATTTTAGTCTCTAGAAAGCAGGCTATATTGAAAAGCTTACAGGGAGAAAGTAGGTCACCATAATTCAAATGGATGATTCAATATCTTTAAAATGGAAGAAAAAATCCACTAACTTGCTAATCTAAATGTTAACCAGCAACCTCGCACCGCTTACATTTTGTACTGCTTCCATTTAATGCCTTCCTGCTATCCTTTTTTATCCCTCACCTTCTCCTAGGAAAAGAAAAAGTGATGCATTTTGGGAAATTTTAAAGCTTGTTATGCTCATGTCATCACTGCTGAGCTGAAAGTGTGTGGCAAGGTGGGTGTTCCAGCACCACGGCTACTGGCCTGGCTCTGTGTTCCCACAAGACTCTCTGTGAATGGAGAGAAGAGCCCAAGTTGGGGCTTTGATTACCACAAAGTAGAAATGGGAAATGTGAACTTTTGTTATAAAAATGTATTGAAGCGCCCTAGCTGGTTTGGCTCAGTGGATAGAGTGTCGGCCTGCGGACTGAAGGGTCCCGGGTTCGATTCTGGTCAAGGGCACATGCCTGGGTTGCAGGCTTGATCCCCAGTAGGGGGCATACAGGAGGCAGCTGATTGGTGATTCTCTCTCATCATTAATGTTTCTATCTCTTCTTCTCCCTTCCTCTCTGAATCAATAAATATATATATTTTTTTAAAAGTGAGGTGCCATCCTATGCAGTTATTCCTCAGTGCTATATCCTTCCACCATGCCAACCCCAGAAAAAAACAATACAACAAACGGCTCCCTGTACCCATCATTTGGAATCAGGGGAAAGTGAGTGGGTGGTTAATTCTAAGTCTATGTAGTTACATCAGTCAACTAACAACTAAAATCATACGTTCTTAAAATAACCATTTTGTAAACATTTTCACAACTATTCTAAGAAGCCTTGTTATTATTTTTAGTTATTATTTTATTTAACAGTTTTCAGAAAAAGGTGGTGGTGGTAGTATTACTAGTGAGCATATTTTTAAAATGGCTATTTTTATACCTATTTCCTCCCAAAATTATGTGAAGTAAATTATTTCATATCATTGTACAATGATACTAGAACAAAGTGATATACTTTCCTCTGAAAGCCATGTACTAATTTATACTTTCTATACAGAAGCACTGCTATTGTCACAGCTGATTCAAGTAATTTCATATTATTCGACTCTATGAATAAATAGATGGGTATGTATATTTATTGAATAGTGTTGATTTAATGAATAAAAAATTAGAACATCAGATATTACTGTAAAACTTACAAAATTTTTAAGTTTATCTTTAGAGTCAGAGGATACACACAGAGACAGAAAGATTTCCCAACTACATCAAGGCAGTATTTTTTTTTAATATATTTTGATTGACTTCAGAGAGGAAGGGAGAGGGAGATAGAACTATCAATGATGAGAGAGAATCATTGATTGGCTGCCTCCTGCAAGCCCCCTACTGGGGATCGAGCCCACAACCGGGCATGTGTCTGGCATGTGCCCTTGACCAGTATTGAACCGGGGATCCTTCAGCCCGCAGGCCGATGCTCTATCCACTGAACCAAACCAGCTAGGGCGGTAGTATCTTAAAATCCTCAACAATTATTACTCATGTGAAAAATGGAATGATAATATTTATATATAAACAAAGGATCTCATAAAGTATCATCTGATTAACATACAAATAGACCAGATACTCAAGAAACTAAAACAGGTCACTGTTTAAGACTTTAAAACAAAATGCATTTGGCTAATCTATTTCTTTTTCCTTGAAAATTTAAAGGATTTACGTCTTTAGGCCATCATGATACTGAGATTAATTTAATAAAAGAGAAAACAAGAGCATTCAGGTAACAGAAAAAAAGAGGCATAATAAGGAGGCAAAAGCAGAAAGCATACAATAAAGCTTAAGTAGACCAAGACAGTCTGCATGTGTGTTTTATATGATGTGAATCATGCTTACTTTCCCCGGAACAAAAATGCTAATTTTGGTAGGAAAATGTTCATTATAATAAAGTAAGCGATGGATGATTACAGGAATCATTACTGAGTATAATGGCTGCAGCTTAGTGTGTTATTTTTAAATTCACTTATTAAAATGAGACATTCTATGGGAAATAAGAAAAAAAGTGAAGCACAGCACAAAAGATTTATTAAGAAAGGTGCTAATTAAATAGCTAATAACGTAATTAACCATTTTATGTTTTGTAATAGGCCATGGCACTCTTATCGATATTTCATTTCAAAGGCTTAACACTGTAATTCTGAGGACCCTAAACAACAGCTAAAAACCAGATTTAAAATGCTTTCATAAGTTCCTGTTTACTTTCTCCTTAAACAACATTTGAAAATACAACCCACAGAAAGCATAGTAACCTTAAAGGGCCTAAAAACTAGGGGTTAGAATTCTTATCTCTACCACCTCGCTAAGCTGATAACTAGCCTTAGGCCAGAAAACAACGAATACTAAAGCATTTGATATTTCCATTATCCCTAGCTTGCTGAAAGATGTTACTTTTCATTTGATGGAGGTCAAGAATCAAGTTCACCTCAATTAATACAATGATTTCAAAGGATGTTAAAATTGGCCTGCATTGTTTTAGAAACAAAATGTATAATGTGAATGGGGGAAAGGGAAGAAAATGTCATTAGAATAATATAGCAATTAAGTAACACTACTATTGTTCCATCTTCACAAATTTATATGCCATCGTCCTGCTTTGCACCAGGTTCAATTAACTACTGTCACAGTAACCACCAGGAGTCAGGACCTGCAGTGTCTAGCTCTGCCCGAAACCTACTTGGGAGATTCAGAACAGAGACAGGGTTTGGACAATGGCAATACTACCTAAGGGAAGTATCCCTGACCTAAATCAACAAACAGCAAATGCTTCATCATTCATGATAACTTTTACCTCTTGAGGAAGTTCTAGTTTAGAACGGTCAGTTCCTTCTTTTGACTGAAGACCCATCAGATAAGGGACAGGAGCATCAAGAAAATGTAGCAGAGAAGCAGGGAGGATGGGCACATACACATGCTGCCACTGAAATGGGAACAAGAGTGTGGTGATGCCTTCCGCCACCGTCATCAGGCGTTGGTAATCTGCACAGAACAAGGAAAAACGGAGGGGAAGATTCCAAGTAAAAACATAGTCACGGCATTGAGCTCGAAAATACCAATTTCCAAAAAAATTCTTGTGCTAATAAATAAAAGCTTTCTTTATGACCAGACAGAAAATAGGTCATTTCTATCCCACCATAATTAAAGAGTTAAATGGTTTCATTTGAATGGTTTTAAGAGAGGATGGGTAGGTGGGAAACATCATCATACTCTTTGCTTCTGAAATCACCGGTATGTGAATTTACTTAAAATGTGGAGGAAACAAGAACTAAGTAAACTGCTCTTGGCACTTCTCGCATTAAAAGTGTACCAGAATATAGCTATTGATCACTTCTTGTATACATGTACATCTATACAATCCCCAAATTCAGAGGCTTTTATTTCTTGTATATATAATTATCCAGATTATATTTTTGTTAAACTTCATTTTGTAAGTACAAGAAATCAACAGATATATGCATTCATAGTCACACTTTCTATTTAACCCCCAACTATAGAACTATCAAATCTGGGGACAAAGTGAAAAGTTACCAGAAAATTAAAGGTTGGTTTTTAATTTTATTTTATTGTGTTTTGTTTACATGAACTAATTTATCAAAACTAAAAACTGTCTACAATATTAAAGGATCCTTTCTCCCCAGTTTTGAGATATAGTTGACATATAACACTCTATTAGTTTTATAAGTACATGGTGATTTGATGTGTGTATATATTGCAAAATGATTATCATAAGTTTAGTTAATATCACCTCACATAATTACAAATAAACTATCCTTTTAAACCACTCTGTCATCGATGCTTTATACAAGCTTTATTAAAATGCAAGGTTAAAGACAAAGAGAATCCTAAAAACAGCAAGAGAAAAGCAGTAACCTATAAGGGAGTTCCCATAAGACTGTCACCTGATTTCTCAACAGAAACTATGCAGGCCAGAAGAAAGTGGCACAAAATATTCAAAGTGATGAGAAGCAAGGACCTATAACCAAGATTACTCTATCCAACAAAGCTATCATTTTGAATTGAAGGATAGAGAGCTTCCCAGATAAGAAAAAGGTAAAGGAGTTCATCACCACCAAACCAGTATTATATGAAATATTAAAGGGTCTTCTTTAAGAAGAAGAAGAAAAAAGAACAGTAAAATGGCAACAGATATGTACCTATCAACAATTGAACCTGAAAAACAAAATAAATGAACAAGCAGACCAGAAACAGACTCACAGATAGAGAGAAAAATGACAGTTGCCAGATGGGATGGGGGTGGTAGGGATGGGTAAAAGGTGTGAAAGGATTAAGAACTACAAATTCGTAGTTACAGAATGGTCATGGTGATATAAAGTATCCCTTTATGACTATAAAGGGAATATAGTCAATAATATTGTATTAACTGTGTATGGTGTTAGATGGGTATAAGATTTATTGGGATGATCATTTAATAAGTTATACAATGTCTAATCACTGGGGTGTACACCTGAAACTAATATAATATTGTATGTCAACTGTAATTAAAAAATAAAAAATGATTTAAAAAAAGATATACTTAATCATTTATTCTGTCAATGCTCTTCAGTCAAAAACCCCAAGAACACACTTGTATTTGAGTAGTTGGATTTATGTATTACTCATTGCAAAGCGGAAGAAACACACCCTGAAGAACTGCGGGATGTCTTAGTAAGAGGTTTAGAGACACCTATTATAGGATTTGGGCTTTGCTGGATAATTTTGGCTTGGATCTAAGGAAGTAGTAGAGACTTGCTTTGACTTGGATGCTGTCAGAAGTCAGGAAAATTCTATCACTGGGCATCTCAGTAAGTTTGATCTATAGGAAGGGAGACTGAAGTGGGGGACAAAGCTGTGATTGGTAAGGAAGTGAAGTAGCAGTTACTAATTTAGCAAGAGAGGAGGATACTTGGTATTTTGTGGGTTGCACAGTGGCCTTGTTTAAAGTGGATGTTCTTATGGGACCATTCATGTTCCATAGGAGCACATGGCTTAGTTGTGAGCATCAGATCAGTTTGCAGTAACAGTGAGGCCTACCTGTGAGAGCTAGATCAGGTCCTGGATGTCAGGCACTGCTTTTTTATTTCTTTCTTGATTCTACGTCAGACACAGTGAAAGGCTCTGGGTTTAAAGCAGTCAGCTCCTGTACCAGTGACCTATTTATTGGCTTTCAGCTCCAAGTTCACTCAGTACACAGCCTATGACAATGGGCCTGTAAGCATTTCCTCTACAGTGAACACATGCTGCGTCTCAGCAGTAGAGGGCACTGCAGGAGGAAGGGGTTTCTTCTCGGTTCAGAGTGCAGTGTTGTGTTTGTTCCTGCTCCTGTGCATGTTGATCAGTAGTGCCGACATGTGAGGTACACAGCTGGTGGTACACTTCCCCAGCCACATGCCCGAAGTAGGCTGTCTCAGAGATGGAGCAGTGGTCACCTTCACATGACTCTCCGTACATGGATACTGCACACTCAGCTCTCACACTCACAGTGGCGCCCTGACAGTTTCTGTATGCCTGCCTGTTCACCACCCACAGCTCACTGGTGCCTGGGAGATGGTTTTCTACTTGCTCGACGTTTGAGGATCAGCTCAGGCCTAGGCAACCCATTGACCTTCTCCACCATCTAACGACCTGCAACCACTCCTTCTTCAATGAGGAATGAACCTCAGTCTCGGGAAGTGGAGCCTCCCCTTCCAACTTTGTCATTCCTAAGGTACCCTTTAGCGTTTCCTTCAAGTCTTTATAGTTGCTTTCCTAGTTTGTATAGCTTAATAATTCTTCATATTACACTCCTTTGTTTAAATTATTGTAGTTTAGTCTGTCTCCTGATTGGACTTAGGCTGAAAGGCAGAGGATTTAAGCAGTTGAATCAAACCCCTAACAGCGTGGCAGCCTACACTCCTTTGTTTAAATTATTGTGTAGTTTAATCTGTCTACTGATTGGACTTAGGCTGAAAGGCAGAGGATTTTAAGCAGTTGAATCAAACCCCTAACAGCGTGGCAGCTACTTTATTTACGGTTGATGGAAAAAATGTTCAATGTCATAGAAAACACAAATTCTTAAATAATGGAAACTAGCACCCGGGGCTATTTTCTTCCTTTGACTATGAAAAATTTACACATGGGAAGTGAAAATCAATTTTCCCCTCTTTTACTAGACACTGAGAGACTGGTATACAGTATATGATTTATTTTTCTTCCTTCAGACAGTAGATCCTCTTGCATAAAGCTAAGACCCAAAGAGGGTAAAAACCTCAGGGAAAAGAGATCAAACAGGAAAAACAAACAAACAAAATGATACGACACATACACAAAAGACCCTGTACCGCCGAGGAAAGCTGTCTGCCCTGCCTTGGCTCTGGGAGGAAAAGAAAAAGAGCCTACCTGAGAATTCCTCCTATCTCCTGGCCAGCTTTCAAGCATGCTTGGAGCCCAAACTTATGCTACCTGCATATCCCAAAGAAACACTAAGTTGAAAATTTTAATTTCAAGGAAACTTGTGTTGCCAGTGAACTCAGATGCCTGGTGAAAGAAAAAACACAAAGCCTTCATGGAGGAATATATCCTCGATATACAACCCATCAGATACTGAAACTTATCTGAGAAAGAATATAAAATATGTATGTTTTACGCTTAAGGAAATTAAAGGAAGCACTAAGGACTAAAGACTGTTTATAGGGCCACGGTGATTAAAATGTCAAAGGAAGGGTTAAGTGCAAATTAGATCCAGGCAACAAAGAGAATCACCTGGGAGACAGATATGGAGAAATCACCAAGATGCAGCACAGAGAGACAGAAAAAGAGGCTGAGAGATATGGGAGACAGAGCAAGACAGATTTCCACGCTTTATTCGTGTTTCAGAAAGATTTCTTTTTAAAAGAGAAATGGAAGCAATGTTTAGAAAAATGGTTGAGAATTTTCCAAAACTTGGGTTGATGGAGTACCCACCGCTAACTCTGGGACAATCACAGACGGCTCACTACGATCCAGACACACAGCACGTGATCCCTGAGGGAACAGCCAGCCTGGTGGACTGGATGAAAGCTACTGCAGAGTGTTTACCCTGAGAAGGGGGACGGCCAACTACCCCTACAAATGCCAAGTGCAACACCCCGGAGGAAGCAGTTGATATGATTCACACGTAAGCTGTGTGGAATTGGCTTTATGATAATTAGGATATTCACCCACTGAATATGCTCATTATTCGGGTCATGATAAATAGTGCAACGGCACCCGTGTAACTTTACTGCCACAAAATAGGTCAGATTTGCTGTCTCAGCTTCCCCTCATGAATCTTACCGATGCTAATAAAAACATTAGATTATTTAACAAGAAAATGCCAAGAGGCAGGGGAGAGAGTTCAGGGACCCATCCCCAGCAGAGTGGAAATTTTTAAACAGTTATTAAGAAATCAGGTGAATAAAGCAAACATCGATGGGAGCAAATTGAAGAGGAAAAAGGGAAGCGTCAAGAAACTCATCCCAGCAGGGTGGAAATCTTTAGAGGGTTAAGAAATTGGATGAGCCGTGGCCAGGTGGCTCAGTTGGTTGGAGCGTCGTCCCGTACACCACACGGTTCTTGTTTCGACCCCAGTCAGGGCACATACCTAGGTTGCAGATTTGAGTGGTTGGGGCATATACGGGAGGTAATTGATCATTGTTTCTCACATCAATGTTTCTCTCTCTCTCCCTTCCTTTCTCTCTAAAATCAATAAACATCCTTGGGTGAGGATTAAAAAATAAAAAGAAAAAAAGAAATGGGATGAATAAAACAAACATTGATGTGGTTGAAACAAAGGTCTTAATAGAGCACTACTATAGGGTGTCCCAAAATTCACGCAAGAAGTAATTTTGATAGAAAACACAGGTTTATAATTAAAAATTGTAAATTTTTTATTGATTCATAAAGTATACAGTATAGGGTTATGTATGGAA